ACCCAAACCCTCAACCGAGAGCCAACGTTACCAAGGGCCGCCGGGGACCGCCAACGTTAGGAAAAAAAAAAGTGGGGGCCCCCATGTGAACTCGCGACAAAAACACCAGGGCGTGACATACAGGGGCTGGGGCCTTTGCCATGCGAACTCGCGACAAAAACACCAGGGCGTGACATACAGAGGCTGGGGCCTTTGCCATGTGAACTCGCGACAAAAGCACCATGCCGTGACATACAGGGGCTGGGGCCTTGTGCCAAGTGAACTTCGACAAAAACACCAGGGCGTGACATGCGGGGGCTGAGCTTTTGCCATATGCTCCATGTCTTCTGAAATTGGCTACGTATGCTATGTATGCCAAAATCGCGAACGTTACGCATGTAGCCATTTTTCGGCTACGTACAGCCAGCCCACCCGTGATCCGTGTGATTCTGAGAACCAGCCGCCCGTGATTCGCGTGATTCTGGTTTCTGCCCAGGCAGGGGCAGGCTCTGCGTCTAAGCATCAACGAAGAGTCCCGGCGAACAAGAATAGTCTGCTCCAAGCCTGTCAAAAGACCAAATGATAGTTTTTGGTATCCTGAAGTAGCCACCCAACTGCTTCAATGACTTCGAAAAACTCAAAACCACAAATTCTCGATGTTATTGTGAGTGCGATCAGAAGTCGAGTGCCAGTCGTGCAAGAACTGATACGCGGCAAAGAGTCATCGCAGAGACCATGAAGTGTGACGGACAGTTCGTGCTTGTTGGATTGAAAGCACAATTCAGGACATGCTGCAAACAAGGCTCGCCATGCATTCCCCAAAAAAAGAAGATGTGAACCGCAATCAATAAGGAGTGTCAGACAACAAGCATGATTCAGTTTCACAGACACTTTGACAGGGGTGTTGCCTGGGGGCGTGTGGGATGCATGCAAGTATGTCTTAAGATTCGTATCCCCACCTCACGATAGTTCACTCCCCCAGCAAGAGGATCCAAATTTGTTCTGATCGATCTGATGGGCGCCTGGCGTCGGGAAGTGTCTGCGATTGAATTTTGCTCGTGCCCGGGTTCATTCGGATCGACTTTGGGATCAGATAATCACCCACGAATCCAAGGCTTTGCTACCAAACATTTCTGAAGATGCAAAACCTATTTCGGATCCGGGCTCCAGGGTGTACGAAGTAAATCTTGCTTTGGATGCAGGCATTATCAAGATTGAAAATGAAGTCTATACGTAGTCACTTTACGTTGGGCATCTCGAACGTGATTGCGATTTGCCTTGATCTCGCAGGCTTGGTTGCATCAGTTTCGTTTTGCCCGCTCCCTGATCCGCATGTTTGTCTGGATTTTTGGAATACCATACTTGAATGCTTGCTTTTAGCCATGCAGTTTTGTCTCCTTGGTTACTAACTTGTATATTAAAGGGCCAGACCCTGTAAGCCCGAACGCAACCCAGCCGGTATACGCCCCTCAGTCTACGCAGCTCAGTTCGTGCCCAAGCGCATCAGAAGAATCTCATGATATCAAGCTCGACGAATCCACCTTGAAATATTTGTCTGTGCCATTTTTATGCAAGCAACGATAACGGGTCCAATTCCCTCTTTTCATGCTAGTCTTGTTTGAACACATGATTTGATTATTCTTTTCGTGGTCGGTTTGCCCAGCCTCCCAAAACCCCCGACGTCAAAAGCCCAGTTCTCAAACATGCTTCAACGTGAGCACGCAGCACACAGGGAAGCTCACTTGCTGTTTAAATTTCAAAACCCGGAACAATTCGGAAAGCGTTGAAAGACAATTAGATGCGCACGTTTGTAATCTGCAATGTTCATGCTCCTGCTTCCTGTATTCGTTTTCCAAGTAAACCGCAGCCCCCATCTCTATGCAATGCAATGTTTACAGGTTTTTGACAGTCCGGTTAGGGTTTAAAAGCCCTGTAAACAAAAGAGTACGTGTCCATACCATTCGTCGGTGGCCATGCCTTGTCTGGGTATTGATACCGGAGATACAAGTCTTGGGCTGGCTCAAACAATCCATAGCCATATAGGCCATATAGGGGTACATAGGAATCCAAGGCATATCCAAGTTGCTCGGTAAACGAATATAGGCCATGCTTCCTGCACACAAACTTCGTTTAGTTCTGAAGCCCCGTGGCTTTCCGAGGGATCCGATCTAGCGCGCATGGGAAAACTTGAGGAGGGACAGGGAGACTGTGCCAATAGATAGCGTAGGTGGTTTAACACACTTTCTTCTCGTTCCTCCTCGGAACCAGTGATTTCTTGCAGGTCTTCTGTGAGGCCTTGGGATTTTTGTCACTTGGTGTGAGTGTCCTCTGCGGAAATGTTGTGATAAGGTTTTGCTTCACATAAGCGTTGCAGTTCTGCTTGAATCATTAGCAAACGATAATCGGGAGCTTTATACACGCAGGTGGAGGAAAAGAAATGAATGTACTACGTAGCTCCCGTTTCGAAAATGGTTGCAGTGAACTTTGTAAATTACCCACTACTTATATCTATATTGATGCCTACTTTTTGTTGTGAAGCGGTGCATTGCCCGACTATGCCCGCCCCTTCAAACCGGATCCTATTTTTGAGTACTGTATACTAGGTTTGAACGCCTGGCCTGCTGCTTACTTTGCATGTGGGCTTCCTTCGTCGGGCCACACCTGTTTCCATAACGAACATGCTCTTGGCTCTGTGTCATCACGGAAGTATTGATTTAGCACTGTAAGTTTGTGCCTGATGCCTGGATGCAAAAACAAGGTGGCAAAAAAGGCGAGGCGTGATTTCACGTGATCCTGCGTGATTTCTGGGCGCGTGATCTGCGTGATTTGTATAAAGTCAAGTCATAGGGCCCCAGGGGCGCGTGATTTCGCGTGATTTGGCGTGATCGGTCGGGGTGCGGCTAGGGCCTGAAGATGTTTGCAGGTTAGTCCCGGGCTTTTGGAAATCGATTTCCTCCCCTGGCACCTCCAGACACGGTTGTTGGGGAACTACTATAGCGTTTCGTCCTTTGCAATGCTAACTTACGCCACACCATGTCTGAACGGTATCGTGCCGAAGTGCTTAGCTGTTTGAGGTACATTTCATTGACCCTGAAGCTTTGCATCCAGAAACTTTTAGACATTAGGTTTCAGCCCATAAACGCTCTTCACATCTCCACAGCGTGGAAACCCGAACACAAAAGCCTAACACTTCACCGGAAACCCATAGCCTAAAGCCCTAATACACACCCACCCCCAACGCCTTTCATCCAGCAACCTTACACCCCACAACGTTGAGAACCAAAAGCTGCCATGAACCGCTACGGGCTCAAACCTTTAGGCCCAAACCCTTCCACGTTTAAAGACTCCGTTTGTCAGTCTTACACACTGCCGTCCTCTTAACGTTGGAAAGAGCAGTGTTACACCGTCAAGCCGAACAGAATGAAACCCTCCGACCTTCAGCCTTCAGCACAAAATCGTCGTGCGGTAGTTGGCACTTGCTGCCTGCAGTTTTAAACCTTCTATTAACTAGAGCATTAACCTTGGAGCCCGTCAACCTTAGACCTCACTGCACAAATTAACCTTGTACAACATTTAGACCCCTATATCCTGAAACCCAAACCCTTGAGCCATGGAAGCGTGAGCCCTTCCGACAACCATTGGCCTGTGAATTTCGCTCGAGCACAGTTGAAGCTTAGGGCAACGTGAGAAGCCTTCGTTTGCCCGGATTACAAGGAAAGAAGCCTGCAAACTGTTGACCGAACGATTTTGCAGCTGCCTTTCAACAAAAACTAGCTGTGTGTTGTGTTTTGTTTGCAACTGTGGTTCAATTACGTTTGCGTACGAAACCAGAACCAATGATTCTTGAGCCTATATGCCCATGGCATTGTCGATCGATTTTTTCATATTATACAAAGCTCATGACATAACTAAAATAAAACGAATAGTTTTACATAGAAACCACTTGGGAAGGTACCCCGTGCAAAGCTCCCGAAGACGCTGGAGACATACATAGCATGTTGGCTTCGATTGATTTCGACTTTCGAACGGTTCCAGCGCTCCAAGTTTGCCACCCCCGAACGTAAAGCCCCACCGTTTACTCCATGTGTCACCCAGAGCTGTATACCGTCAGCTCATAGGGCCCCCCGGCACTTCGAACTTGCACGGGGCGACTGGCAGTTCAGAAAATGCCTTAATTGTATGCGCTGGTTGTCAGGGCTGTTGTAGTATCGGTATTGACGTACGCCATGCAACATGAAAAGCACTGGGTGTAACTTTTTGCGGATTCGGGCAGTTGCATACGACGCCTTACGTTTGATGTGCCTACGTTCGTCCATCATCCAAACCTGTCGCATTTGTTCGCCAAGTACGCGCATGCGGCACGTATTTATGTGCGCATCTAGATCTTCCTAAATCTTACAGTCTTTGTCAGCTATACGGTCAAGATTAGGGAACCCATTCGTTTAAGGCACGTTTTGTTTTGGGGATCTCGTGGGTGCATAGCTGCAACGGCTGCAACTGCATCAGGGCAGTACAATTACCGATCACAGTGTTACAATGTATATACGTGGACTATGACGGTGGGACTTCTGGCACAAGACGGAGCAGCAGCAACAGGACAAGGACATCACATGAAAGCATGCCCCATGGTCTCAGATCTTTGAAGGAATCCTAAGCGGGCGAGAATGCACACTGTGGCAGATTAATTGGCAGCTTTACATGGCTTTCTGACTGCAGCCTTCTGTGAGAGAGTGTCAGGGTGCTGTCCCGCGTCGCTCCCCGAAGGGGTCAACGTCAGGTCGGTCACTCGCTATGACACTTCACAGACAAGCTGGTCAGAAACCATTTGGGGGTTTTAGGTAAAACGCAATGGTCTGAGTCTCTGGTCTGGCGGGCGGGTGCCTTCAAGGGCTCCCCTTCCCGCAGTCGCCAGCGCTTCAAAACGCCGGCCTCACCGAGACGTCTCAGCCCTCCTCCTCTCTCAGGGGAGGCTCCCTTGCTGGGCATGGGACGACATAGGAGTGGGAGCGCACCTCTCATCTCACTCTGACACACCTAGAGAGCCTCGACGCAAGCAAGCGAGCGACCCAGAGGCCGCCAGCCAGGCCACAGAGCAGGCCTCTAGAGACATGGCGGAGGCCGCAGAGCCCGGTCCCGGAGCCGCATTGCGCGCCTAGGAGGATGTCCACGGCCAGGCGCAGGAGCGGAAAGTCCGTGTCGGAGCCCTCGCCGGGCAGCACATTGGAACCTCGGAGACAAAAAGGAAAAGAGAGCTCCCTGCCGGGCCACGCCGGGGGGGGCCGACTTATCAGTGGCAGCAGGCTTGCGCTTCCGGTTGTCAAAGTCCTCTTCCAACGTGGTCGTCTCTGCGCTTTCAATCTTCCTCTCCCGCCTCTGCTCTGAGAGTCTCTGAGAGTCCCTGTGTCCTCTCCACGGCGTAGGTGATGGCGCCGACGATGCCTCGCAGTCGCCACACACTCAGACCCGACACCAAGGCAGCCGAACAGGTAACAGTGTGCCTCAGTCCCTACCAGCCGAACTTCTGAGAGCTGAGGTCTCCCCGTCGAACGCACCAGGCTCAGCTTCTCCACCGGGGCCGGTGCCGGCCGTAAAGCAGCCCCAGTAGGCGAAGGCATCGTAGGTCTGGCGCAGAGCAGAGAGGAGACGAGTGAGAGGAGGAGAACTGCTCTCAGGGCCTGTGGCAGCATCAGCTCCAAGGAGAAGATCACGCCGCCGATGGGGGCGCTGAAGGAGGCCCCCACGCCCACGGCGCAGGCGGCCAGGAGGAGCTTCGACACGGCCGAGCCCACGCCGCTCCCTCCGGCCCCGTGGGCCCCGTGGGAGCTCTGCACTCGCTTCCTCTGTCTGCGAACATCTGGTTTAATTCAATATGTAATTAAGTCCTTTAGACGAGGGAAGACTTCATGGATGCTGATTGTGCAGGCCGGGCGTCTCGAAGAAGGAGGGGTGGATCACCCGAGCGATGCAGGCCTTGCCAGGCAGGAAGCTTCGCATCTTCACAGAGACTCGCGACACGCACCACGCCCGTCTCTCCGAGAGACGGGCCGCCATGTGCACGTTGGGGCCTTCCTGCGCGCGGCAAGGCAATGCAGAACGGCGTGCGGGGCGCGCGTCTGCGCAGAGCCCGCTGTGAACCCCGCCTTGCCAAGCGGGAGGCCGGCGCCCACTCCCAGGGACAAAGCCAAGGCTTTCGACACCAGCCTTATGTACAGTAGCTTATAATCCAGAGGCTTTTGGGTTATTTTTAGGCAGTGCGACTGCCGCTTCGCGCCACATGTTTGCCTTGCCGTTTCCGCCGCCAGTGTGTCGCACTATCTTTGTTCTCACACGGATCGGAACCCTTTCTGAGAAGAGATCACGGCCGTGAACCACAGGCACAACACCACAATCTCCCCCCCCCCTACCCGCGCAAACACCGAGCAAGAAGAAGGGTAAGTTGAACCGCTGCTTGTCTGAGTTGGTCGGGCACGCGAAAGGTGAGGAAGTTGAAGAGGACCTTCCCGAAGAGCATGGCCTGAGGAAGGGGTGAGAGCGGGGACCTGCCGCCGAGCCCATGCACAGCCCCCATTGAGCCTTCATCTCCGGGAAGCCGCTTCCCTCGGCCTCCACCTCAGAGCGGCTCTGTCGCAGCGGCGGCTCTGCAGCGGCCTTCGGTCAAAGGCCCGGGCCGTCGGTCGGACGATGAGCCGCGCGAGGCAGGCCATGCCCACGTTGAAGCCCAAGGCCTTGAGCCTGCGCGCGCGAGCCCCTCGAGTGCGCCACAAGGGCCACCGCCACAAGCCGCTTTTCCCACACTTAAGGAGAAAGGGCCTCTGGTCAATAGGCCGCTTATTAGGGCCCGCGCGGCGCGCCGAGGGTCAGCGTGGAGCGCAGGAGCCCCGTGCCGTAGGTGAAGCGGTCGATGAGGAAAGACAAAGAGCTCGAGAGGATCTCGCAAGCACTTTTTTTGGCATCAGCTGAGTCTGTAACAGCTCCCTCTCAGCGCAGACTCACTCCTGACAAGCTCACACATGAGCTCCCGGCTGCAGTGACGAAGAGTAGGATCCAGAATCGTCTGAGGATGTGCTTCTCCTCGAGAGAAGAAAGGAGCAGAGTCCCGGCTCCGCTAGTTAGCCGCTCGTTGCACCACCGCCTCGCCTCCTTCTGCAGGTCCTCGCAGCGCTGGTAGTGGGCATCGTCTTGGACCACGGCTGAAGTACCCTCCGACAGCGAACAGAGCACAGCATAGCACAGGAATTGCCGTTCGGCTGCCTTTCGGAAGAGCCGTGCCATGCGGGAGAGCGGCGTCTTCGTGGTCGGCGACGCCTCCCATGGACCCGCTCGCGGCGTGTGTGTCTGTTTGCTCTGAGAGCGGCAGCACAGCGGCCGGGCATCGGACGGGGTTGAAGTCAGCCTGCGGCGGCCCCGCTTCAACACACACGAGCGCCAGCAGGCTCTCCCGTTCAGAGTGGACCTCGCCCGCCAGGCCTCCCGAGAGAACGGCGCATTTGCAAGTTGCTCTGCAAGTGCTCTTCTTCACACGTATGCGGACTGTCGCCCTGACTTTCCAGTGTGGCTTTGCCGCTGTCACCATTATTGGCGACGTGCAAGACGAAATGCTTTAGTCGATCGTAGGCTGCAACGGACACAGAAAAGAAAGGAGAAGGAAGCCAGCGCATGAACTTTGGATCTTGCCAACATGACCTCACAATCTGAGAAGGGGCCTTCGATTTGCGGCATCTTTGCGGCTGGCCGCTGCGCGCCCGGCCACGGCCGCTGCCGCTCCCTCCCCGCACTTTTGACCCCTCGGCTCCCTCGGCCTCGCCTCGAGCCTGAGAACACCCCCAGCATGTGCCAGCAAAAGCCGCGCTGGTCACGCTGCTGCACAGATCGAGCTTGCCAGGACAGCTTCGCCCCTTTCGTCTGCAGCCCCGGGCCCCGTCAGGAAAAGGCCACGTTTGGCCCTTAAGGAAAGTGCTAGAAGCCGCAGCTGCCACAGCATCGGGCGCTCCGCAGAGAGGGAAACACAAGGCTGGCTTTGCAAACCATCGGCTGCCCTTGGGATTGCGGCGTTCAATGTGCGAGTGCGTGCAACTGCTGCTTTGAAAATGGGCCTTCCTACTGCGTCTGCTTTCTTGTGCCTGTCTCACGAAGAGGCCAGGACTTACCGAGGCCCGGCCCCCATGCCGGGAGCTCTCGAGGGTGAAACGTTTTTGCTTCTCAGTTGTGATGCTTTTTGATGCCACCTCTCACGGCAACTCCCTGAGTGGTGGCGCCACCGGTTCCTGAATGGAGGTCTGTGCACTTCTCCAGCGCGAACTCCTCAAGAGTTGTCAAGCTTGCAAGGGCCCAGGTTGTGCCCGCGGCCGTGTCCTCCTTCGGATGTTTCGACTCGAAGTGCATCTGCATGGACTTCCTCAGCGCAAGGGACCGGAAGGACAGCAAAAGAGGATGAGAGAGCGCTGGGTGACGGGCGGGTCTGGGGCGGACTGCATGCAGATGTTGCACTTGTACTTCGAGTGCCCCACCGACCCGCCCTGTCGATCCTGGCAGAGGAAGGAGCTGTATCGTCCGGCGCCCCGGCCCGCGGCTCTCGACTGGCCTTGAGACCAGCAGCGCCCCCGCCGCGATTGCAGGTGGCGTCTTTCTCCTGCAATTTCAAGAAAAGAAAAGCCATGGGCCGCGTGCGCTCGCTCCCCCGTCGCTCCGTTCTGCCCGGCCTTCTGAGCGAGCTCCTTGGCCGTGTGCTTCGTCGGCTTCGCTTTGCCACCCATGTGGGGAGGGGAGCTGAGGGGGTGGGGGCCCTTCTCGCCTTTTGCGCCGCTAGGGTCGCAGGGACCCCGAGAGCTCGCTGGAGCCGTGAGAGCAGGAGAAAGAGCTGTCTGGATGTATGGAGAGAGAGAGAGAGAGAGACTCAAAGACTCTTGAAAGCCGAAAACTGTGACAGTGACTGCAAGTTGCTGGACTCTCTTCGCTCTCTGGCGCTCTTTCCGCCATTTTTTGCTGCGTGTTTGGGCCTTTCAGGCTCCAAGTGCGTCAGCGGCGAAACCTCGAGGAGAAAGCGATGCTGGGCCTGACAGTCAGCAGCGACTGCAAGCTGCGACCTGTGCTGCTCTGCGCTGCTCTGTGAAGCCCCGGCGCGCAGGCAGGCCAGGCAGGGGCTCTCGTTTTGCTCTTTTTGATGGGGCAGGGCGGAGGTACTTCCCCCGCGAAGATCGGAACAGTGGGCTTGAAGGCAAGCTTAGAAACCACGGTCTCCCAAAGATCCCAAGGGTCCCCGGGCTTGGACACGCGGCTCTGGAAGAGAAGGCGGCCAAGTCGAGTCACTTTGAAGGAGCTTCGAAGCGACCTTGAGCGCCTCTGACTCGGCGAGTTTGGCCGGATCTCCGGATTGCCGCAAGGCTTCCGCAAGCTCCGATGCATTTGCCAAGGAGCCTACCGTCCCTACCAGACTCCCCAGGCCCTTACTCTGCATGTTGTAGCTCAGGCTCAGCACCTCGTGGCCTTCCTTCATGTGCCCAAGCAAGTACTCCGAGCTGGTCTGGAGCTCCTCAGAGCGAAGCGACGCGATCCCGCCCACGCCGCCGCCTGCGCGCCGCCGCTTCTCCGTCGGTCTCTCTCTCTCTCTCTCGCTCCCTCTGTTGCCAAGGGACGTCCACCAAGCCCTTCTCCAGCGCATCGGCCCCAAACCACACTTCGCCCGTGGCCACTTCCTAGCGAAGAAGGCGCCCCGAGAGCGCCCGCCGCCCCCCACCCCCGCCGCAACACACGTCGGCCTCAATGTTGAGATTCGGGCGGTTGCCTTTCACGAAGCTGGAGAACTGCCGATAGATGCGGTTCACATCCTGCAGCAGAGCAGAGTGCAGAGCTACGCAAGGCTTGCCGCTGCGGCTCTCCTCCTCGGCTTTGGCCAGCGCCTCCTCTGTGGGTGCCTGGAAAGGGTCGATCGTCCTGACAAACCCAGCGAGGTTTGCGATATATCTACAAAATCTATTCAAGTCGTCCTCTTCCACTTGCCGGCGGTGGTCTGGATCACTTTGAGCCCTTCCCGGTCCAAGCGCTCCACCGCATTCGGCACCCCTGCAATCCTGAGCTGAAACGGATTGCATCCTGCCCATAAACCCCCACACCGTGGATCGGCCAAGAGGCACGCCGATGCTGCCCACGGCCGCAAAGGGCGAGCACCTCAAACAGGCTCTCTAAAGCATCAGCCTCCAGCTGTCGCACACTTTTCGAGCGAAACCCAAGCGGCAGAATCCGATCAGCGCAGCAGGCCATCATGTAGCCGCCGCTGGCTGCCAGCTCATCCACGCAGCACACCAGCCGCACGCCCCGCTGCCGAAAGCGCCTCGGGTCTCAGAGCAGCCGCAGCTCTCATCTATACAGGCACAACAGCTCCGCGCGGCTATAGGCTCTGCTAGAGTAGGCTCTGCCGGGCCGCAGGAGCTGTGCCGCCGCGAGGCCTCGGCTTTTCCGCGGGGAGGCTCTAGAGCACATCCCAAGAAATAGGCCCCCTCTCTGCTGTCGGCGCACCGTAGCCCGTGACCGTACCTAGCGGGGCTAAGCGCCACAAGGAAGAAGCACTCAGAAGCACAGAAGCCTTATAACTTATAAGTTATAAGACTGTGTAAGGGACTGTATACGGGGCCGTGGCCGGAGCCGAAAGCTGTGGTTTTCTCAGCGCGGGCCTCCAGGCGACTTCAGCTTCAGCACCACCTGCGCTCTGAAAGATCGTTCTCTCTCGCTCTCCCTCCTCTCTTCTCATTGCTGTGAATCTGCGGTGCGCCTCCTTCACGGGGTCGGTGCTTTCCAGGACCGCTGTGACCTCCTTGGCCAACAGCTCCACGCCGGCGGCCGTGGGATCCCCGTCGAAGGAGAGCACGTAGACCAAAGGATGTGTCTCTTTCGATCCCGATCCCGCCGATCGCGCCTGGTCGATGAGCCAGGTGAGGTCCACGTTCTCAGACAGAACCTTCTTCAAGTTCTCGAACTTCGTGTCGGGCACAGCCTTCTTGATGTCAGAGATGAGCTCCTCTCACATCCCGACATCCCACCACGACCCACCCTGCCCCTCCCCCACTCCATTAGCTCCTCTTGAAGCCGGACTTGCTTGTCCAAGCTCGAGGTCACTTGAAACCGGCTGGACATGCCACCAAAGAAAGAGCTCTCGAAGAGGGAAGCCAGCCACTGGCCCCGAGCTTCACGAAACTCCTCCTGGCGCTCCGTCTCCGCGGTCATGTACTTCTCCACGGCCTTAAGGGCTCCCCCCTTTCAGCCGCCTTTCGTGCATCAGAATTCCGCGTTTTCAAAACACCTGAGATCTTGGCTTGTTCGACCTTCTGCCGTTCTGCTTGTGAGATGGGCACGTCATCCAGCGCCTGGAATTCGTGCTTCTCCCATGCCGATGGCTCTAACTCGGGCCTTTCCGCGGCAAGGCGGGAAGGGCTGCATCTGGACTGGCGAGGGACATGTTATCCACCCACTGCCAATCCCAATCGAAACTAGTGGCGCTGACAAGACGAATTCAATTGAGTCGACTCCTGGACAAAGCCCAGCAGCATGTTGCCAGGTCTCTGCGAAGCGTCGGCGCCGTGTTTGCTCTCGCAGAGCGGCTCCGGCTGAGGGTCCTGGTGCCGAGCAGCAAAGAACACTGCGACTTTAGCACATTCACGGGTAGCTGAGCCCGAAGAGAACACTTTTCTTTAATGTCGATGACACCGGCAGAATGAGACACTGACACACAGCTTGGAAATCGGCTTCAGATTGTGGGAACCGTGCATTCAGCACGTCATTGCAGAAACAATGCACAGGGCATGGCACAGCCAGTATTCTAGTTGCAACCACGTTCGTTATCACGGCGCAGGTACGTGCGGTTGATCAGACCTCATATCCTGACATCTTGACTGGAGCTTCGTGGCCCGTCAAGTGCCCCTGGTGCCCCTGCAGTAAGTTTTGCGGTCTCACTCGATGGTCGCCATGCACATGCGTGCACACACACACACACAGACACATGCCCTGTGACCCTGTGACAGGGCTGAATCGTTCAGTCGCACCTGTTAACAATACTGGCCAGCAAACGTGGTGAAGGACTTCTGGGAAGGCTTCGGCCGTGAAGGGTTTACGGAATTGGCGCGGCTCGCCCGTCGACCGCATGCGACCGCAGTGAAGCCCAAAAGAAAATCGGAGAGCCAGATCCTTCAAAGGTTTGAAAGACGCAGCCACATGTATACCACATGTCGCCTGAAGCTATTTTTGGCTCCAAGAAATCTTGATGCATGGAGGCTTTGCCACATGTTCACTCGCCTCGGTTCACTCATGGCAAGCAAACACGGCCCACGAACTGCCGCTTTGCCACGCAACGTGAACTTTGCAGACGCAGCGGCCGTTCTGGATGACGGGCAGTCGAGGAGCTGGCATAAAGGCAATCATTGATAGTGTATCCGTACCGCTTTCTCAATGAAGAAGAATCTGAGTAGCACTTCCTTCGACCTGCAGCATGCCTTTACCGTCTTTGTGAGAACAATGAGGCTTTCGGTGACTTTTTGTCTTTGCACTCTACGGCACGCATCGCTTGTTACCTGGACAGACCAGACGCCGGCCGTCGCCAGGCCTGTTTTTACTGGACGGTTGTGGAGTGGCCGTCGTGGTTTCAGGTGCGGGACTGCGGATGGATGTTTTTCGCTGCTTTTCTTCAAAAGCTGCTTTCCGATGTGGCCGGCGGGTACAGCTCACTGTTTGCGAAGATGCTGGCTCAGTTCTCTGAGAATCCTTTAGACTTTCCGCGCGGAACTCCCCTGCCGAACATCTGCAAGGCTCTTCGCATGCCAAGCTTCGCTGGGATTCGTCATTTCAGACGAAAAAGCCTTGCAGCAGCTGTGGCTGCCGCGAGGCGGCACGAACCATGTCCGCTCTGTCAAAATGTGAGTGGACACTTGTCTGCCTCGAGGCTGCAAGATGAGGAAGAGTTGGTGCATTGTTGCTCGCCCTTCCCAGATCGCATACATCTTCACACGTTGCAAAATGTCCAGCTGGGCTTGAAGCTTTGAGACATCGGAAGCAGGATTTGAAGGACATGGGGCAAGTGTACGGGCTGAGCTATCACGTGAATGGTGTGCTTTCGCACCCAACTCTGCGATCCATCGTGGATCCGATTCAGCACACGATGCAGGAATGGATGCACATTCTGGCAGCCTCGGGAGGGCTTGCCCAGTACAGGCTCAACAAAGTCTGCAAACAACTGCTGCAGCACAATTATCTAGATGCTTTCTCAGCCGTTTTGACCATCCGCCCGAAGAAACAACCCGATATCTGGCTCCTTGTAAGGATTTCGGCAAGAGCAAGAGGCAAGCAGAGAAGAGGGGTGAGGCGGGGTTGTTGTAGGCTGTGTCACAAAGGCAAAGGTTACCATTGGCTGGCGCATGCAGTAACCTTCTTGGGGACGACACCGAGGATCATCAATGTGTACAGCCAAGATGCTAGATGTTTCTTTACGTTCAGTATCACGTGCAGGTACACCAGAGTAGCCGATTCTGGCTTCCCACATCACTGGCAGCTTCGTTGGATGCAGTCGCAGTGATGTGCTGCATCCCCTGATTTGACGTGAAATCCGTATGACTGCGAGGCAAACGCGGCAATATGGAAGCCTGCGAGATTGCCGACTAGCAGACCAAGATCGAAGGTATCTACACCCTAAGACAACAAAGGTGGTCTGGGCGGCAGGTCAGCCACCTGACAACGACATGCGCTTCAGTTCAACATGATGCTGCGGATGATATATTAATTTGGAGCAGGCAGGTTTACAATGATTTCTTCAGCAGAATCTTACCTACATGGGCAAGAACAGGTTCTCATCCACGGCCCCGCATACAAGACAGGAGGATTTCCCATTACCCAAATTTCACAGACGACTCTCTCGTCTCATTCGCGTCATCATCTCATCTCTGTTTTACTCGACACTCCGTCCTGAGGTCTGCTCTGCCAGCGCCGCGCGGAAGCTGACGACCTGCGTTCACACGCAAAGTTGTCCTTGCAGGACCCCGACGGACTGGCGCCAAGCCTCGTCGTTGAGCCGGACCACCTTCAGCCGTCTCTCCTGACTCGGTCACCCTCACACGGGAACGGGGACAAATCTCTCTCATTACCTTAAAAGCACTCCTCCAGCAGATCGGCAGGTTCGCCAGCGATGCGCCGCAGCGCTTTCTCCACGAACTTGGAGGTCTTGCGGCCCTCCTAAGAAGTACACAGCATCTGATGAGCTGTCTCGGCCCTGTGCCGTCCCGCCTTGCCAAACTGCTGGTCGATCTCTCGGACGACGAAGAGGCCACCCACGGCCGCCAGCAGGAACTTGAAGACCGCGAAGACCCCGTAGAGCAGCAAGGCCCCAAAGCCCAGCAAGAAGAGGGAAGGCGTAGACTCCGCTGTGCTCTCACCGTCCTGGCCCGTTGCCTTCTTGATCAGCTGTGCCAGCATGTCCTCCGGCGACTGCGGATCATCTGCGAAGGCCGGGGAGCCCGCGAAGAAGGAGAGAAGTCCCGGCGCCAGGGACCATCCCAGCCGCGCCGCCGCTTGAGCCTCTCGTGCCTCTCGCGCCTCGCGCCAGAGAGAGAGAGAGAAACGAGGCAGGGGGCGAGTGGGAGGGGGCCGACAGTGACTCGATCCGCTGTCTGTTTCTCCGCAGGGCCGGGCCGGGCCTGAGCGGCTTCTCGGGGCGACGCGAGGAAGCCGCTGCCGCTGCCGCCGCCGCTGCCGCCTCCTACTTTCCAAAGCAGAGCTGTGCAGAGAGCCGCCGCTGCCAGGCGCAGCGCCAGAGCGCGAAGCGCAGAACCGCCCAATGCCAGCCGCCGAGGTCTCCCTCCCGCTTGAGCCATCACGACTGCGGTCACTGCGGGTCACTGCGGGTCACTGTGCCGCAGGCTGTGCCCAAGCTCCTTGAGGCCCCCTTCCTCTTCATAAGAATGTCTTTGGCTGAGGCCGACCCGGCGGACGTGGGAACAAAAAGACGCTTCAGCTGAAGCCGAGTGGCGAGTAGTTCTGCGGCCCAGGGCTTCGGTCCAGGAGTCCTGCGCTCGCAGTGCCGCAGTCCTCTCCTCCAAACTCACACTACAAAGACAGAACTATCTTGCAAATTTGAGATTAGGAACCTATATGATTCTTGCGTATAGGCTCCCTCCTCTCTGGCCTTCCTGTCTTCCCCTGTCCTGGGCTCGTGGATCTGAAGCGCTTCGCCGTCCCCATGACCCCTGCCACAGAAAGCCACCGCAGAGAACACAACACAGCTTTCCCTGGCCGCTCTATGGACGACCCCCTTCCTTTTCGCGAGAGAGAGAGAGAGAGAGAGAGAGAGAGAGAGAGAGAGACACGTCTCGGCGCCTCCTCGGATCTCCCGATGACTCTCCCGATAGAGCTCGGAGCCCCTGCTGGGGCCCCCATACCTCTCTGAAAAGCGAAGCCGAGAGAGACGCGAAGAGGGGATATCGCGCGCGTTGCGTCGGATCTCCCGATGAACTGGAAGGTGTTTCCTGCGCTGGCAGAGCGGAGCAGAGTGCCAGACCTCTCTCGGCCCCTCTTTCCCCTCTGAGGCGGCGACGAGGAGCCTGCGTGAAGCTAACCCGCCTGCGGCACCCGCCCCCGCCCCCTCGCTGATCTGCAGACCGCCAAAGTGGTGCAACATTCACCTACATGCAAAGTGGCATTGAGTCACTTGCAAGACGAACACGGCCTAGGCACCCGTAACCCTGTTCCGAGAATTCGCGCTCCAACAAAGTGCAAATCCGTGTGTCAGCTCTGAGATTGGCTGAGTGCAGCTGTAGCTGTCTCTTCCTTGCGCTACTCGTTTCAACAGGACCCTCATACCTGCAGGCTCCTGGCAACGGCCAATCCCACCCCTACGGTCCAGAGTCCCCTCGTGGGCAGCATCAACTGGTAAGCAGCAGCAGACTGCTGCTCAGGACACTCATTTTTCATTGCATCATTGCAATGTATGATGGCCAGTCCTATATGTTTAGGCTACACAAACATCCATACGTGCATTCGGGCATTGTTCTGGGTTCTTGATGCCACTTGTCATGCACAAGCGGACGGGTCTCCCGCGAGCAGATTCTGCACACCTACTTATCGCACACGGCTTGGTGCTGCAACGGTTTCTAGAGACTGGGAGATCTTCGTCTAGGGGCAGTGCACATACTATACCAGTTCTCCACGACTGTTGGCTCACACGTCCATTCCATTCCTTTCCCCTCGCTGCTGAAATTCCATCCTTTCCGCCGCTCTATTGTCCAAGAAAGCCAGTCATCGCCCAAAACAAACATAGAGGCTTGGATGCAACATCGTATCTCTCTGCCGATTTATCTGATTCTGTGCTCGTGTACATGTGGGTATATTAACATTAGTTGCTTGACAACACCGGAACGCCTCACTGCCACGTCAGCGAACGGTCTTGCACGCTAACTTGCGGACTTGCGCCACCTGCCTCTGGCCAATGCCCGGGGTGTGGCCTGAGCGAGCAGGATGTCACGCGCATTCCCCGAGATGCCCCGATGCCTCATGGCGAGTCTGCAACTGTGTATGCCGGCAGAGCCAAAGAAATATTGCACAAAATCACGGAGGGCATTGTCAATGTGTCCGAATCACACGTTGCTCGTGCTTTGGTGTCAGAATGCGGTATCTGAGTTGAACTCCGCGCCCGCGTGCTGGAGCTCACGACCATTCGCTCACCGCCATCACCGAGCGTAAGCGACATGCACTCTGGCACCCGACATGGCCCTGTTCTTCGCACCGACTTTTGAGCGATCCGCAGCAACACACGTGCATTTGCCTCCTTTCTGCACATCAAGGATGTGGATGCGGCTGTTTGTGCGTTCTATGTCGCAAAAACCCCGTGGATTTGGTTGCAAGACGCATTGCAGCTCCTGTCGCTAGCACAAGCTCGGCGACCCTCGACACATTTTGTATTGTCCCGATCACGCTGAGGGAGTTCGGACAGACTACATCATCGAAGCCATTGCTCTACCTGTTCTCGATGACGTGCGGAGACCCGTCGGCGGAGTGGAAACTGAACCTGAAGTTCCAGCAGCTGCGGCAGCACGTCCACCTGATCCCCATCAAGATGGAGGGAGATGTTCCTGAACTCGGTGATGCTCATGAATCGACATTGACGGCGATGAAGTACCATGAGGTTGCAAAGCCAGGAAAGGCATCTGGGTTCTCATATTCTACGAACTGCTGTTATCTTCAAGCCACAATTGTCTATACATCTTTCTTTGCGAGTTTGCGTGTTAATTCGTCGATGACGGACACTTTGCTGTCCAGCGGACTTAGCATAATCAATCCACAAGTGGAACCTATCTGTAAGCTTTGCGGGTATCACTTCCACGACAGTACTTGACATTGCCGAGCATTTTCAAGGAAAGAATCTGAACAACGACGTGGGTGCTTGCACTGCTGTGTCACCGCTGCGGGTCCGTCCCGGCCAGTGGCTCGCTGTCGCCAAGTTAGGGCCTAGAGCCTGGTAGGCCCGAGCCCAGACGGCGCTCACTCGCCGAAATCTGTCACTTGGAGCCCTGTGACGAGAAGATGAACTGTCCTGCACCTGTTAAACCTGCTTCAAGCATTATTTTCGTGTCTTCTTGCCTTTGATAACCGCCTCGATCCTGCTGGTCATTTCCACTGTGGCGATGCCCAGGACGGCGAGGGCTATCCACTCAGGGTCGTTCTTCTGCTCAAGTGGCATGGTTAGAGAGTGTTTCAAGGCATGCTGCATGGTGTTGTGGCAGATCCACGCATATGCCAGGATTCAGGCCGATCCTTAGTGGCGGGGGCGAAGGAGCCTCAAAGCGAGAGCGGCAACGGCGGAGACCGCTCCTCCGCTCTTTCCCTCACCTGCCGAGACGGAGGGTCGGTGCTTTGCCGGCCCGCCGTGCGGAAGACCACCCGCGGAGATCGCGGCCTGGGCTCCGGCCCGTGGTTCTTTTTGTTGCGGGCTTTTGGAGCCCCTCGCCTCAGCGGCAGGTCGCCCTCCGCGCTGTGAAAGCAGAAGCCCCTGTTGGCCTCAGTGAGGCGGAGCCGGGCGGAGCCGGGCGGAGGCGGCGGCTGGACGCCCGCTCCCTCCAATCCGAGCTCGGGGCCACGGCTTCCGCAAGCTTGGCACTGCCAAAGTGCTTTGGAAAACTCCATTTCCAGACCAAAGTTGAGGGCAAACAAGAGACCCTGCCCGCCCTGCCGGCCCTGCCGGCCCTGCCTTTGTCCTAGGAAGGGTGGCGGCTTGCCGATGATGGCCTGCGGGGATCGCGGCAACGGCCGCGCCTGGGCCTGGCCCGAAGAGCCTCAGAGCGAGAGACGCGCTGTCCCGGGCAGGGCACCGCTGAAAAGAAGAGGAGTGTCTGACGCGCTGAAAGCGGAGCCCCTCATAGGAATTTGCTGGAGGCCCAGGCAGCTCACGTTGTAGGGGACGGGACTCAGAAACCAAGGGGCGAAGGAGGCAGTGCAGCGATCAGAACTCACTGCCGAGGCCGTGGCCCGGGAGCCACCTGCCCGGAAGCTGCGCGGAGATTATCGTCGCAACAAATACAAAAACTTCTCCAATCTTGAGAGAGCTGAGGACTCTGTTTCGGGCGTGCCTCGGCCGCCGGACGCGCGGCCTTGCCTGGCGCGGGCTCGAGCGCTCACCCTCCTCGCCCCATGTGCAACTGGCGCGTTCTCCCTTCAGACATGCCGTGGCCGCAGAGCAGCACTCGAGGCTGCGCAATATTCCTGAGACTGAGACTTCTGGAAAAAAGTGCAAAGCGAGCGGGAAGGCAACACGACAGCTGGAGCAGCACTCGTCACAAGGACAGGTCTGGTCTGCATGTGTTACTTGTAGCATGGCCGCCGCCAAGCGTCTTGCTGAGGCCCAGCTCCGCCTGCTCCACCTGGCGGCACGGGCCAAGAAGCGGAAAAGCAGCGGCCGGCCGCTTGCGCTCAGAGGGAGAAGGACGGAGAAGGCAAAGCCCAGCGCAGCGCCCCGCCCGGCCGGGCGCGCCTCGTAGTCGGAGGGCCCGGGCAGCCGGGAGCCCTGCGCGGCGTCGAAGCCGGCGCCCCGCGGGGCGCCCTCGAAGCTGCCGCGCCTCCGCGCTTCTCTCTATAGGGGCTCTCTATAAATCTCAAGTAGAAAGATTCGATCGAAGCTCTCTCTCTCTCTCTCTCTTTTTCAAGAGTATCTAGAGCGGAGTACATTGCGGCCGCGCTATCGCTTTATCTTGGGCCCCCCGGCAGCGACAAGGAGGGCGAGTCCAGGCCCACGAGCGAGGAGAGCCCGACCGTCTCTGCGCCGCTTGCAATGAAGCCTACACAGACACGGGCCGGGCCCATAGCGAGAGCGACGGCTCCCCGACCTCGCCCCCCGCCTGAGTAGGGGCTGCAGAACAGCGGGCCCCCAGAACTTCCCGCGACCGCCACCATCGCAGCTGGCACTCCGAAGGCTGCAGACTCTGCTGAACTCGCCCGCGCTTCTCTCTCCCTCTTTGCGGTCCCGGTCCTGATGCTACGACAACCATTGTGTCTCCGCCTCCCATGCTACACAACTTCTGCTGAGCCAACGCAAGGTCTCTTCCTTCGCCCGGCACGGTTATCCATGAAGTCGAGTTTGTGGGGGCTGTAAATGTGCAACAGTGTGTGCGGCATTTGCTAATCCGACTCGTCTCGAAACTCCTCTCGCCGCGAGGCAGAGACTGTCAGAGACTGGCACTGTCTGGCGACTGCGATGGGAGATGAAACTGACGGGACACGGCACTCTGCCGAGGCAGTCTGCTTGGCAGATGGCCTACTATCTGCGCCACTGACAGTTGGGCGAGTCCGCTTCAAGGGACAAGCAGTGCTCTGCACGACTTCAAGTCTAGCAACTGAACGCTGCTGTAGCACCACAGGGAAGTCTAGTCTTGCGAGTTCGCCGGAATCTCGAAACCCAGGTTGAAGTCTGTGCCTCTTGACGCTTTGCTCAGGGTTTCGGAAACAAACGCACGAATTCCGGAAGGCCGCAGCGAAGAGACCACACATGTTGGCAACGAGAATATCGTTCTGGGCTATATCTTGGCCGCTGCACAGTAGCGCCGAGGAGGTGAGCAAAGCAGTGCTACATCAGGAATCAATCACTTCAAGTAAATTCAGGGTGCAAGCCTCTACTTGCAAAAGTTGTGGCACGGGTCCGGGCTTTGCAACTAAGCAATGCATAATGTCTTAGTGACACTTGACCTACGTCGGACCGCAGCACTGCTGAACGAGGAAGATGAGCCAGCTAACGCCATTCATGATTTAAGTCCAAGTATATAGGTTCTAAGTTTGGGAGATCGCTGTAGAGGAGCCTTCCGGAAGTCTTTCGCAAGAGCTCAGCGAGCCGCCGCCCGCCAGAGCCACCGAGCCAGGACCGCTTCAAGCTGGCTTCAGGTGGCCTCGTCCTCGTCGTACTGCGACTCCCCCGGTGCCAGCAATCGGTATGCTTGGATGTTGTAGGCCGTGCCCATCTGCAGCTGCTCCTGCACGGAGCAGACAGCGTGGCCCTCCCGCAAAGTCTCTGCAACGCACGCTGCAACAACGGCGGGCCCCTACGCGCCTGCTTGTAGCGTCGCTCCACCTGGAAGAGTCAAGCAAAGCGCTGCCGACGCAAGACGCGAAGCGGCGGCTGCGGGGCGCCTCGGGGTGGTAGCGGAGGGCCTCGAGGAAGATCTCCTCGCGGAGGGCCTGCGCGGCTGCGGAGAGCGCACTTGGAGCGAGAGATGGCCAAAGCCCGCGGCGCCACAAAAACCATCCCCCAACTTCCCCCCTGCCGCGAGGTCGATCTTCCGGCGCTCGAACTCGAAGTCGCTCAGGTCCAGTGCGGCACTCGAAGGCTCGTCCTGACGGCCGAGCACAGCACCAAGCCCTCCGCTCCGCTCCGCCCCTCTCTCTCTCTCTCTCTCTACCAGGTGGGGAGAGCTGGGGAAGGTCCGTCCCCAACCCTCCGCGCGCGTGCGCGCGCGCACCTCTCTCTCTCTCTCTCCCGGGCGTGGGGGTCGGTCATTTTGGGAGGCTCAACACGGGGGGGCTCACCAGGGGGGGTTTGGCCAGCAATATAT